TGACTTAAACAGTTCTGGGAATACAACTTTTAAAGACTCAAAAGACAAATGACCAAGGCGACAATGCCATAAATAAACTTGACTCTTACAGGACTGACTCATAGACTCTGTAACATAAAGACCAGCCTTATTCTCCAGCATGTAAAGTCCATCAACCATACGTGCCCTACCAATCGTCCTCCCCGAGGCCAGATCCTGTATCACACAATGAGAAGAGAAAAAGGTCACTGAGCAGTTCAAGGAATTAGTAACACTACTAACAGAGAACAAATTAATGGGAAATTTTGGAACATGTAGGACATTGTAGAAGTGTATGATCCATCAGCTAGTCTCACCTTGTCTCTTCCAGAAAGAAGGTGATAGGTTTGAAAGTAAGAGGACGTACCAGTCATGTGTTTTGACGCTCCAGAATCAACGATCCATGGAGAGTCAAGGGTGTGAGAAACAACATGGAAAGCTGTAGCAGAGTTACCTGACATAGATGCAAATGAGGTTGAGGGAGGAGCATCCATCTGACGAATTGCTCTACCATAGAGCTCTAAATGGTCACGGAAGGAATTCATAATATCCTCCTTCGGGTCAGATCCAGAGAGATGTGTCTGAGTCACAGTGGGGATGGAGGGCTGATTCTCCCGAGTGGCCATGTTGTATTTCTTTGTACCTTGCTGTCCGGACCTTTTATTCACATCTGAACCTTGCTTCTTATTCAGATCTTGAGCCCATTTTAGTTTCCCATGAAGATCCCAACAGGTATCTTTGGTGTGTCGGGGTTTCTGGCAAGGAGTGCACCACAATTTTTCCTTATCTTCTGTTTTTTTCTGGAGATCTCCTTTCCTGGAAGAAGATCCCACACCCCCTTTTGCTGCCAACACAACTGCATCCCCACCAGGGCTGTTCATCAAATTCCTTCTGCTCTCTTCAGATTGTACAAGAGCATAAACTTCCTGAACTGATGGAAGATCCTTAGAATCGAGAATCTGTACTCTAATAGATTCATACATAGGATTCAGACCATGTAAGAAGGCAAACACTCTTTGTTGGGAGACAAGTTTCTTGTACAGTTTTGCATCCTCGTCACACTTCCAATCCACATTCTGGTAATGGTCTAACTCCTTCCAAACAGAAGTCAAGTCAGAGTAATATACTAATAAACACCTCTCCCCCTGTCTACAAGTAGACGATTCAGCCTGCAGTTGATAGATCTTGGCATAGTGTCGCAGTTCTGAATATGTAGATTTTGCTTGTTCCCAGATCTCATTTGCAGTTTCAGCCCACATGAAATTCTTCCTTATTTGAGGTTGCATGGAGACCAGGAGCCAAGACATAACCATACTGTTCTCCTGATTCCATCTATCATATTCGGCACTCCCAGAGTGTGGTTCTTTAATTTTCCCATTAATATAGCCTACTTTCTCCCTTGCAGTGATGTATAACTTGATCCCTCTTGACCACTCTAGGTAATTTAAACCATCAAGAGGGACAACAACCATAGGAAAGGATAGGTCACCACCACCCCCACTCATTCCATTCAGCATTGAAGAAACTCCAGATGTGGCAGAATCTTCACCATTCATGATTTCAGGTTTTAAAAAAAAACAGCACCCAAAGAAAGGAGCACTGCCTCACAGAGCTGTTACAGAAGGCACCAGGCACTTTCTGACCTTCAGTCCACTAAAAAGACTGCTATTGCAGCACATAAACAGGTCCTTATGACCTACGGTTTCACAGGGATCCAAGAACAAACACTGCTGTTGCAGCATGTAAACAGGTCTGTATGACCTACGGTTTTATAGGAATCCAAAAGACAAACACTGCTGTTACAGTACATAAACAGGTCTATATCACCTACAGTTTTACAGAGATCATACGACCCCACAATAGAATGGAAGGTGTAAGGTAAAGTTCACCACACACCTAATCGGCAGACCTGGTACAGTGCCAACTTCAGGGCAGCCGAACAGTCAATGAGATCAAAGTAAAAGGAAAGAGCTACTTCTTGAACATCAGATGATAGCCTCTCTATAAACCAGAACTTTCTCTACGAACATCAGATGATAGCCTCTCTACAGCCGAACAGTCAATGTTGGCAGACTTCTTGGAACATCAGATAGAAAACTCTCTATAACCAGAACTTTTTTCTGCGCTGGAAGATGAAAAGTCAGGCAGGCATCTTCTTGCTTAAGGTCGAACAGCAGATGGATACAGCTGGGAGATGAAGAGACTGACTGCTCGATATTGGAGGATGAACAAATCAGATTTGCTTGACAGCACCCTTCAGGCCTGGACGACTTGCTCTGATACCATGTTGAGCAAGAGAAGAGAAGAGGAAGAGAAAGAGAAGAGAGGCGAGAGGACTGAGAGCCCAAAGAATACTGCAGGCGAGTGCAGTATGCTATTATTTATACTAGGCTGGTCGTACAACATAAAATATGAGGAAATTACAAAAGTACCCTTGCGGTACTAAACATGTATACAACAACATCTGTCAACAGGTTTACCAAAGAAGTATATAAAAGACTTGTGAGAAGATTTCTTAATGTCAGAGTGGTGACAAAGAGGAGGCAGGATTAAAAAGAAGCTAAAATTTTCTACTTATTTTGGCTGCTAAGTGAGGGCAAAATCTCTGAACATTGGAAACTAATTATTGAAAGGGATTCCAAATTGGTTGTTGGATGGATGCTAAGCTAGGAGGAAAATCTTTGGATCTTTAACAATGAATGAAGAAATTCAAATGGTTCACACAAAATATGGAAGTGTGAGTTTGATGGGTCAAAAGGAATGCAAATTCTTTTGCTGATGCACCTGCTAAACAAAGGGTGGGTAGAGATCAGTTGTTTTGGGCTCAGTTGTAAAAAGAAGTTATGTTAGGTTGGGGAGAGATAAGAGGGTTTCTCTCTGCTTTTGTTTCTTTATTGCACTTTTGTAATTTGTTTCTAATTTTAATGAATTACTGATAACAAAAAGAATTCCTTTTCCAGGGTCATGAACGAGAGGTAATTTTTTTTTTGGTAGAAAAGTGAGAGGTGTAACTCATGTATAGAATATTCTAAATAATCCATTTATTATCTTTATTTTACATATGCAGCCATTTCATGCTAGTATTTTCTAAGACAAACAAGGAAAATCCAGACACAGGTAGCTGTGGAACTAGGAAAGGACAACATATGCTGACCTGGAGGCTGGTCTGGGATGGTATTTCCATGTGAGTAACCAAGCGACCAGAGAAAGAAATTCTCTTGAGAGCATACAACTCTGATGTGGAGATGTTCCCAAGAACCAACCACCATGCTTCCTCTTTTACCTGTGGCAAGAAGTTGAAGTTATATTATTATGAGTATCAAATTTGAAGCCAAGGCAGATAAAACTTACCTTTGGAAATCGAGGGGTAAAAGCTCTGGATGTTTTACGTTGGGAGTTTATTTTTTCCAACTTAATGTTCAGAATACTGGCTTTCATGCCCTCTGGATCCCTTCTCTGCAGCTTCAATTTAACTATAACATGTGGAAAATGCTGCAGATCCTGAAATATAAGATAATAGATATCCAAAAGCTGAAATCAGCAAGCCTACCAATACATCAGGTCCAGAATCTAGATTTAGTTTTATAAAAAGTGAAAAAGTCAGAAAGTTTTATAAACTTGGGTAAAAGAAAAATAGGAAGTTTAGACATTTGACAGAAGGAATGGAAGTCAAGTTGAATTTGGTTAAAAGGGATGCCAACTGCATGGTTGATGCATTAGCTAAATAAGGGGTGGGAAGAACCAATGATTTTTGGGCTGTTTTGTAATTTAGATTCTTGCATAAATCCGGGGGAGTTAAAGAGAGTTTATCTCCCCCTTGTTTCTCTACCCTCTAATTATTTAATGAATTTCAGTTATTGATAAAAAAAGGATGTGAGAGAGTCATGAGAAAAGCATTCATGGAAGCTAGTGTATACAGATAATCATGTAAGCCTTTGATTCATCATGGAAAAGATATCAATTTGGAAAGTTTTTGTTACATCACGAAATTCCCAGTCCGGCTTGTCATGCCAATCCACTTCTTAGTGAAATATTGTATATATGTACAATAAGCTCTACTTTTACCCTCAGCAACTAAGCATAGATAGATAAAACTACTTTCCCGATTCTATTGGTTCATTTAACATTGAGCATAATTTTGGGTTGTGACCCTGAGCCTGAGGTATCTGGGTTGTGAAATGCATAGTGATGCCATTTACATGTAGTGCACTAGGGAAGTTTGGTGATAGGATATCGACTGCAGCTCTCAATATTTGAAATTTTCCTCTGGTTAACTAGATAATATACTTAAAAATTAACTCCTTGAGTTCCATGAGGTCTCTAAATTGCTTCATCTTAGGGTAGTAGACAAATGGGATAGTGCAGATGTGCAAATTCTATTTCTATGCTCTATAGTTCCTTATCATCAGTCTAATGCCCTATGTGATGGAAACAAGCTCAATACCATTTTGAGAGTCAAAGAGGACAACCTTTATCCATGAAAGTTGACATACCTGATTGAAGAAAGAAATTCTTATATACAAAGAATACAAACATGAAGAAGCATAAGAGACCCAGACTCCAAAAACCCAGTCCTACAAGCTGCTGCGTCCATACAATCAAATGTTGTTGAATGAAGCAATCTAGCATAACTTAGTTGACTATAGACAGGGAGCATATAGATTACAAATTCACAATCTACCATGCCCATAAGACTATTTTTCATTGATGCATGTCCAAAGTTTACAGAGATTTCAGAGACAATGCATGGAAATATTGTAAAAATTATAGACATAGTGGAAACATTGTGCATTATGTGGAAATATACTATTGTATTTCCAAATCAAACAAAACAATAAGCTGCAAAATTGTCCAATAGACTTTAAAAATTAAACCACATGATAGATTAAGTTCAAGAAACTTTTGAACTCACAAAAAGTTAGTTGATTCTAATAGATCAATCAAATAGTCTGTTACACAAACAGAAACTAAGACATGTCACAACCAAAAAAGAATTTCAATCTGGTTTAAAGTATATAATCATCTCCATCAAGCAAGCAATAATATTGCCTCTCCACATATCTGTAATACTGTTGCCAACTTATCATGCTAATGTTATAATACCATCTTGTGTGCTCCACATGGCATTGGTAGTCTTGATTAGGAAATACAAAGTTTCCAATAATATTTCGTGTTAGCACCAGTGTAAATGGAAATATGATATAGAAATATTAACAAATATAATATAGAAATATGTTGACATTTTAAACCATGTGCATATCTATACAATCATATGTTTTATCTTGAATCATTCGATGTTTTAGCCTTAGTTGACAAGGTAGTTCAGAGAAAACAAATATAGATAAAAAGATCACATTACAAGTTTATGTAGCCCAAGGAAAGATCAAAATAAAGTTCAACCAGATAAATAGTGCCTAAATTGCTTAAGAAGAGGTTGATACTTTCAAAGGTAACATTGAATACATAGTTTGTCATTTAAATCTAAAGATGCATTTTGCAAAAAACAGCACATCCAAGGAGAACCTCCTGAGGACTCTGAGGAGGGCAAGGGACCAGAAGACCTCGAGAAAGAGGCCATACCTGATATAACTGTGGAGCAGGGAGATCTTTAACTAAGGCTTGCAAAGTTGCCCTGGGGAGACTTAATAGTTGCAGCACACTTGAGATACCTCTTTTGCCAAGGGAACTTACAAGATCAGAATTCATGCATGGCAACATCCATAAAGAAGAATCCCTATTGCGCCATAAACCCTAAAGACAAATACAAAACAAAATATCAGAGATGAAATGGAAAAAAGAGTAACATTTCCTATTGGTCATGCTTGCTGAGGCAGGAGAAAAGAAAATTTTACATGGAGCTCTCATTTTTCGATATTTGTATAGTAAGTCATTATTTTTGATGTGTATACATTTCATATTGGAATTTAATAGACTAAAATCAAATTAGAAGCACTAGCTTTATTTTTTCTTGATTAGTAACACAGCTGTTTATTATTCATAGATTAACTCCACCAGCTTAATCCCAAGTATATGGGGTTGGATGCACAAATTCTGTCTTGCCATTCATCGTTATTAAACCATGTCCTTTACAGCCTTTGCCAGTTCTTTTAGAACTATCAACTTGTATTAGGCTACTCCTTACCTGCATAATAGGTAGACTTATATTATTGACAATCGACATGATTAGACCATTTCTCATCTACCTTTTGTTTTGTCACCTAATTCTCTCCAGGGCACTGATTAATAATTCCATCTACTATTTGACCCAACAACCTTCAGTTGGCCGAAGAGAAGAGGTAAAGTTATGTAGAGATGTGCTCAGGCTGCCTTAATTTAGACGGTGTGGGAAGAGAAAAATAGCATAATTTTCATTGGTAAGGAAAGGAGTGAGGAGGCAATGGGAATGTCTAGTAAATAGGGCTATACATTGGGCTAAATCTTTAGACCTATTTTCAGACTTCTTTGATGATATTTGGCAAAATTGGGAAGCTATAGCAAGAAGTTCAACTGTGAGCAACAAACTGGTTGTAGCTTGGAAATCCCCAGGAAAAAAAGGATTTATCAAGCTAAATTTTGATGGTAGCAGTCTAGGAAACCCAGGGCTGGCTGGTATAGGGGTGTTCAGAAATATTGAAGGACATATTCTTGCTGTATTTTCACGTCTTGTTGGAGTAGGGGATTTGGTGTATGCTGAAATCCAACAGTTTTGCAAGGAGTACAAATTGCTTGAGACCTAAACTATGACAAATTGTTAATTGAAGGTGACTCTAAATTGATAGTAGGGTGGCTGAAGGAACCAGAAAAAGTGATTTGGAAATACAGGGAATCAATGAAAAGATTTAAATGGTTAATTAGAGACATGACAATTATTGTCCAATGGGAAAGATCAGGAAATGGGATGGTTGATTATTTTGCAAAATTGGAGGTGCATAAGTCTGAACTGTTTCTGGCTCAGTTGTAATTCTGCTTCTGTAATGGGAGCCATGCCTCGTGCCTATGTTGGGTTGCTTTTATTGTAATATTAATCAAATTTTCATTACTTATCAAAAAAATTCCATCTACTTTAGAAACTCATCCTTCTCAACATATTCTTTTCCCACATTACAAAATAAAAAATCATAACACAAAAATATTAAATCATTTTTAAAGCAAAACAAAATGTGACGGAGCTTCACCTTTTTTTAATTAATATCACTTTTAATTATTTTTTATAGATTTTTCATTTTTAATTATTTCAATAATTTTAATGGACTTCATTTCATCTTTAAAAGGTTGTGTTTCATGAATAATGCTGCCATATGTAGCTGTTGGAACTTCTGGATGAGAAGATATATTGGAGCTCGTACATGGAGAGAAACAATATCAACTTTTAGCCTTTTAGGATGAGTATGCTTTGGGCTTCTCCAGCTAGGTAGTTATCTCAATCTAATCTATTAAGACTTAACAGTTTTGTCTATCCAGTTTCTTTGAAATCTCTGTATCTAGGAAAGGACAGATAAACCATTTGGGTGAATTTTCCTCCCAAGAAGGATTATAGCACATCAGTCCCCCTTGAGAGGACTCTAATAATGGGTTATATATGGAAATCCAAGAGACTAAAACATCCCTTTCAAAAGATAAATTGTCTAAGATACAGATTGGCAGGAATGAGTTTGTTTTGCAGATTCAGAGCAAATGTGGATTCCATGCAGTAACAAACTGTTAAGATCCTGAGTACATGTTGAGAACATGACATTCTGGTCTAATGATTTTCAATATATAATCACATTGTTAGTGTATTCTCAATGAGAATTTAAGTACTATAACTTTCTGGAGAAAGTAACCATAATAATTTACTTTCCCTTATTCAGACACTCTGGTCTTATCACCTTCCTATTGTATTCCATTTTCTTTTTTCTAATGATTTTTTATCTTATTCTTCAAAAAAAAAGAAGCAAAACAGAAATTGTTTTTAAGATTTTTGTATATTTAGATAGTAGGGCTTTTTTGGTCATTTTACATTCCATAATTTCTATTTTTCCTAGATCTAGTAGGATCATCCATTCCTATATGTATATGTGTCTGTATGCATTCAGAGCCAAAAGTGCATAGATTGATATTGGAATGATACTCAGATTTATCTGCGTCTTATGCTTGTGGTGAGTGATTTCTGAGTCGTAGTTGTTCAAGACTGCTATCAGTCTTGAGCACTAATAAATTTCAGGTTCGAAAAAGGAGAAAGAATAGAGGAAGGAGAAGAAAGAGTAGAGAGAGAGCAGTAGAAGACAAGATTTGAAAGGAAGGACAGAATCTCAATATTCTGCCGCCGCCACTTTATTTAATATTTATAGGTTATGCTCATTACATGGAAAAGGACAGATCTGCCCTTAGTCTTTACATAACAAATAGAGCAAAATAAGAATGAAACAAATAACAACTGAAACAACTAAATGACCAACAGCTGACCCTAGGAAGAGTAGAACACCTTCTACCCTACGAACACAGTGGGACCGTAGCTGTGGGGCCCACATCAGTGTTCTCTACACTCCCCCTCAAGTTGGGAATAAATGTTTATCATTCCCAACTTGGATAGATCCGCCTCTAGCTTCTTCCGTGGTACARCTTTGGTGAGGATATCTGCCAACTGCATGTTGGAGGTGATGTA